ACAGGAGGATGAAACTAAGGTGCTTCCGCCTCGAGAGGTCCTGGGAGGTCAAGGCTGAGCTACAGTAGTGGGGTCTCCTGCTGCCCGGTCTGAGCCTCCATGGCAGCTACAGGAGTGTCAGAACGAGCACAGAAAGAGTTCGGAGAAGCAGAATTGAAGTAACATCAACCCCCCTGCTCAGCAATAGACTGGCAGAGCCACCGGTGACGATGCAGAGGGGCAGGCTGGATGGAATCATTCAACCGCACCTACTTGAACCTGTTTATTGTCTGGTTTCCTCACGGCTCCAGGCTCTTGAGAGATGGAGCCACCTGGGCAAAACCCCTCCCGAGTCTTGACCACAAGGCAGAGCTACCCATGACAAAGCCACCCAAAGTCTCTCTCAGACTTTACACCGATCACCCTGCACGTTGGGACAAGGCGCCTGGGGAATTGAATTCCTCGGGCCGGTGCACACCAATACAACGTGGATTTATTTTAGTCAAACCCACAGTTATGTTCTTCTCTATTGCGTGAGCCAGTGCTTTGAAGCTGGGAACTCCTTGGACACAACTTTGCTTCATGGGTTTTTGTGGGATCTCGTCTCCAAGAACAGCTGTAGGAGCCTGTTCTCCTCTGGAAGCTGTTCACAGAAAGAGAAAGGGAGGAGCTCAGAAACGGTTGTTCTAAGTTTTTGTTATTATTTAGTCTATTACCATAGCACCTAGGAGCCCCAGCATGGACAAACACAGACCCAGAAGACAGTCCTCCATGCCCTACCCTTCAGTACAGACTAAAACTCACTTAGAACGCGCAGCTGGTATCAGCTGCGTTAATCAGACCATCGCATGCTCAATCCCACACCGAAGGGAGCCTCAACTCAGGGCCTAGTGGAAGCACATGGAGGGGCTGCTATTTTGGGGAGGGAAGGGGAAGCAGCTTGGACCGCAGACAGGGAATCTACGGTGTTGGGCTGGGAATTCCCATGGACCCCTGGCCGCTGCTCCTCCACCTGTCCCTGCCTCACTGGGCACAGGAAACTGCACAGAAAATGCCAAAGGGCCAGGGCTCTATCTTGTTCCTCAATGGCTGGCACTAAACAAACAGGCTGTGCTTCTGGGCAATGATTTGAGGGCATCTTCGTGGCTCAAGTATTAAACAGCCACCCTGAGCCTTGGTTATGTTTTTATTTTAAACTAATCTAATGACCTTTGTCTTGGCTCCAGGACTTAAATACTATAGCTTGCTAATGACTGGTTATTTGGAGTGCAATTTCAACAGACGTTCAGGCTTTGCTAGCTGGAATGCAAAGGCTGGGTGGCAGACAGCACTTACTCCTATCCATGTATGAACGTTGACCTGCTCTCTGAATCGCTGCAACCTCACTGATGCAGCATGCGTCATTACCCACTGCCTACAATAGTTTCCTGTAGCAGGGCTATTGCAGGAAATGGGTGAGTGCCAATCCATACCATGCTCAAAAGGTTAATGGCAGTTTTAATGTCTAGAAGCTGCCAGCATCACACATCTGTCTCATAACACAAGAACTAGGGGTCACCAAATGACATTAACAGGCAGCAGGTTTAAAACAAAAGGAAGTATTTCTTCACACAATGCATAATCTGTGGAACTCATTGCCAGAGGATATTGGGAAGGCCAAGACTATCTAGTTCTTTTTTGAACCCTGTTATAAATTCATGGAGGATAAGTGGCTATTAGCCAGGATAGGCAGGGATGGCGGCCCTAGCCTCTGTTAGCCAGAAGCTGGGAAATAGGCGACAGGGGATGGATCACTTGATGATTCCCTGTTCTGTTCATTCCTTCTGGGGCACCTGGCATTGGCCACTGTCGGTAGACAGGACACTGGGCTAGATGGACCTTTGGTCTGACCCAGTCTGGCCGCTCGTATGTTCTCTACTCTTTGCGGAGCCCTTATGCGCATGTGTCTCTCACTGCTGCGGCTGCTGCTGCTTTCATGAGAGGATGGCACGGCTGGAGAGCAGATGAAGATAGCGAAAACAATTATGGTTCACCAAACATAGCCTGCGCGTGCTTAAACCTGGTAGCATTGGGCCTGGCTTTTCCCACTGCTCCAGCAAGCACTTGCTTAGCTTAGTTAACAGCCAGAAGCCGGCGTGGGACTTCTGAAAGACGGAACAGATGACTTTGCAGCATCTCATCAAGCAACAGTGCAGGAAACCTGTGGAAAAGCAAGCTGCATGCCATCTCTCCAGCGGGGAGGCACAGTTCCCTCCCTGCCAGGGAACACAACCACACCACACAGGGAACATAACAGGACGCAGCTAAATCCATCAGGCCAATTTAATACATCAGCAGTCAAGAAGCCATGGACGCAAGCTTTCTCCTGATAAATCCTCGGGCACAAATCAAAGTGCAAAGAGGAGCTGAAATAGAAACAAAAGGCAGAGAGTCCAGTGATCCTGAGGAACAGAGATTCCTCACTGTCCCCCCCCCGAGTGTTTTCAGGTCCATTCCCCTGGAAACGTGAGGCTTTTCTGACAATTATTTACTTTGCTTCCTACACGGGGGCTGCTTGAACCAGAGAGTGTTCAACAAACAGCAGGTGCCACAGCTGACCGTTGCCATCAAAGCAAAAAGCCTCCCCAGTGAAGCACCTCATCAAAACAAAGACCAAAAATGCTGCAAGTCGAATTCAGCAGCCTGGGACGGCTCTAACCTGAAACAAGCTGTTCTTTGAAACTCAGGTATTCCCAGCAATGCCCAGACTGGAGTAGCTGACGTCCAGGACATGCTGGGCTTCCACATGGTCAGACCACTTGCTAAGCTGCCAAGGGAAGCAGTGATGTCTTCCCTTTACTCTATGGCATTTTATAGCAACATCAGGGCAAAGCTGAACTAAAAGCATCTTTACAAGCCCTTATTAATATGCAAGATAATAAATGCATGCACACAGCTTGGAAAGCCAGGGGAAAGCCCGGTTTGTGAAGAGGGCCTTGCTGGTAGAGTATAGACAGGACGGAATTACCTTATTCAAAAATGTATCACCTTCTCTAGTCAGTGCTTTTTGAAAGGTTACAGTCAAGCCAAATTAATTACAAAGGCCAACAGATTGCTGGAAGTTGTTGAAAGGAGAACACCACGATATGCATACAACATCATCAATAGTGCAACAGCAGCTTGGTTCTTTAGTAGCTACCCCACTCGCGGGCCTAGTACAAACACATTTTTATGCCTGTGTGTTAAATTCTTCCAAAGTTTACAACAAAGAATTTCTTGTGATTTTTGTGTCATTTAATGGCCCCCTGTGTAAGTGCCTCATTCCATTCAGCTTAAAATCAGATTTAATGCACTCATAACCATTTACTGCTGTACATTATCGGAAACCCAAGCCGTTAGGTGCTGTTCCTGCTTTTTATTTCTCCCTCCCAGCAGGCTCTGTCATGTTCAATACATCACTGGGGAAACCCCTGTAGGATGTTACATATGTCCTAGTTCAAGAAAAGTACTTTATCTCGGTCAGGGGTGGCCTGTTCTGAAAGCAATGGAACACTAGACATTTGCATCAAATAATTTCCACAGAGGAGAACAACGTATCCCCACCCCTCTGAGAAATAAGAATTTGGTTGCATGCCTACAGAACCCGAAGACTGATCCCTCCCTGCAAATGGCCCTGAGCATTTCATTACTCCATTTGTCAATGGAAACAGCCGCCTCGTTCACCACCCGGACAGAACATATGGAGTGCAGCAGGTATTTATGTATCAAAGGGGCAGAGTAGTGTCTGTTTGCCCATATGCAAGGCCACAGAACCAATCAACCAAAATTAAATTGCCAACTTAATTCTACATCCATAGGATTGTGAAGACCAAGATCGACTCGGGGTTGATCGGTACAGAACTGGGGCAAGATGGTTCTAAGGAGAAACTCACACCAAGAACTCTGAAGTATCCAAATTTTCTGTATTAATTTTTGTTCAACCTTTAATTAAAGGCAAACTAGTAGGTAGCCAATTCTCCGTCTGTCTCTTGAAGCAGGTACCATCATATTGCCAATACTAGAAGCAGTTGCAATCATCCTCCCAGGTTACTTCTGTAGTCTCTTCATCCAGGGGCGTGGGAGCTCTGTACAGAACAGATATTTTTGAAAATAAGACTGAATTTTTAAAAAAAGAATAATGTGGAGGAGGAAATCCCATCACCAAATCTATTGGATTAGAGCACGCAGCCAGCTTCGAGGCCTGGCTATAGTGTTCTCATGACTTGTGTTTGATTCCAAATGTATTTTAGAAACATCTGTCACAGGAAAAGGAAAAAGTAAAGTGCTGGCAGAGGTACTCTGAAGTCTCATTTAGCAGCTCTAATATATTTTGCTGTTGGTTTGTCTTTCACAGCTGACTTCAGCAGTCATTTACATATGGTAACACAGTCACACCCATTACCCACCAGTCCCCTTGGGAGCAGGCAACATGAGCCACATGCTCTGAACTGCTACTCTACGGTGGCAACAGGGATACAGCATCAAGAGCAGGAGAAGGAGCAACTACCACGCTACGCACTGTGTATTAGCAGGAGCTGGCCTGGGGGATTGGTCCTTTGATCTCTGCTTCCTCACTTTCCCAGCAAGTCCTGCTTCCCAGCCACTGTGCTCATGACCTAAATGGGAAGTTTTAGTTACTCCTTCACACAACAGAAAAACAGTGCACATTCATCTGGGGGTCCCCCAGCACTATGGGACTGATCCAGAGTTCTTCAACATCAATGCAGAGACTCCCATTGACTTCAAGGGACTCTGGATCAGGCCCGACCTTAGCAGCAGCGGCCCAGCCCGTGACTATGGTGAGTAGGAAACCGAGATCCTGAACTTAGGTTTCTCCTCCATCAGCTGACCTGCCAGGCTCTCACCGCCGGTAAGAATAACAATGGCCATTTTGTTTGTTTGTTTTTATTAACAACTCAGTGCAGGTTTTCAGAGAGCAAATGGTTTATAGACACTTGGTATTCATTTGAGCTTCATTACATTTAGTTTTTATTCTCTCTTTACTTTCTTTTTTTTTTTTTTTTTTAACAAAACCGGTTGTAGTTATTAACAGCTGTACATATTCTGCTACATCCTTTGGTGTAAAGTAGAGACAGTATGACTTAGTAACCCTCCGCCTACTTAGCTACACCCACTATCTTTTTTTTTATTATTTAAAAAGCACCAACTTGCAAATAACCATTTTAGGACATTAGCTTGTGGTGTTTAAAGTGGGAATTTTCACTCAAAGTCAAAACCCTCTAAGCCTTTCCAACTCATTCCAAGTTAGTTGTAAAGTGTGGCTTGTACACTGAAAAGTGACTCTAAACATGGCACTCTCTGGCTCTGTGTTCATTGATTCTGAATGGATTAATTCACATGGGGGTCTGAGAGACAAGCTGGGTTCATTAGCACTCTCACATTATCACCGGTAATAATGATCCTGCAACTGGAACTTACTAAAATCATTCCGCGGATGATGAGCAGGCCATAAAAGAATCCATCTCCTTCTGCTATCACACTGAGGAACAATACAGTGAACAGAAAAAAGTAAAAGTGTGCAGTCATTCAAAATAAGCAGATCTGACTCTCCTATGCATAGAAAGCAGATCCACTGAACACGGTGCCATCTTTACATAGTCATTTTTCTAAACATAACTGCACTTCAAAAACACTCTTTTCTTTAAAAAGATGCTTTTTTTTACTTAAGAGCTTTTTGTGACAGTGCATAACAAATCAAAATTCACACTTTTTGCACGACAGGCAAGTTTCTTGGAATCAGAGGTGCATCACCACTAATAAGTCTCATGGGGTACACACTTTTGCCTTTGAAATTTCCCTTATTTTTGTTCTGGGGGGAAAAAGTCCAACCTTAAAATGTGAGACTTTGGGGAAAAAATTCCTATGAAGTTTACTTTCACCCCCAAATCTACGTTCTCCCCCACCCCAAACCAATAGCTACTGCTGGAGGGTACTGCTGATGACTTGCAATTCAGACATGATGCTGAATGTACGTCCAAGAACAGAATGTTAAAGAACATCTCCAACTTCATCGTCCGTTTCTTCTTTTGTAATATCGCTTTCGAACAGGTAGTTTTCACCATAACCCTAATTACTTTTGACCAGATTAAAATCAAAAATTAAAAAATAATCCATAAAAATGTAGTATAAAAATTCTCTTCCATATGCTACAATACAGGGTGAGCACTTCTGCTACACAAATACTTTTATTTCCCATTTATTTAACCTTTTAGTACAAAATGTTGACACACTGGCCTGTGTGGGGATGGGTTTTGCTCCGTTGGAACCAATATACCAAAAGTGACAAGACCATAAAGCCACAGACCCCTCCCAGAGACAGCACCTCGCCCCCACCTCACACAAACCCTACTTGTTAGTAAACTTTGTTTTAAAAAAAGAATTGTATTTTAAAAGGTTATCAATTCTAATTCTTTACTTTCATTTGAATACAAAACACATAAGTTGCTATTATCTTTTGTGGCTCCCTGAGCTGAATTTTACTATGCTTTCTTTGAAATTATTCCTCATCATTTATGTCCGAAGATCAAGAAGGGCTTGAGCAGAAGTTTCTTAGAACATGGACTTCCTGTTTTCTTCAAACATATGAGCACAAAAATCCATATAAAAATTTGATTGTTTTGCTGATGTCACATCAGTATCTGAAGATCTGACCAATTGAACTTCAGTCCATACAGTGTTCAAACATTTGACTAATACACTGAACAATTCACATGTATGACAGTAGGAACAACTTTCACCAGTGGACATCTCTGCTCAATCTGGTTACAAGCTGCAGGTCAAAGTAGTATCTCAAATGGATACTTTAGGGGGGGGGGGGGGGAGGGATTGCCACCACCAAACCCATCAGTGGAATACAATTACAGCAGACAAAAAAATTTAAAAAAAAAAAAAAATAAAATAAAAAATACACAACTAGTGTACCAGGAGGATTAACCTCACCCTTTCAATTCTATTTACTAGTCCGTTATTTACATTTTTCACAAGTCTTATATAGAGCGCAAAAAAAAAAGTCACAATAAAAAATAAGTCCTTTATAGTGCCACCAAAGCGCAGACAAAAGAACAACGAAAACCCTAAAACCAAAATGAAACTTGTTGAGGGTTTCACTGTGTGCCATATTTGCAGACCGCCAAATAAATCCATATATGCCATGGCTTAAAATAAAAATTGCTGAAATACATCAGTCCATGCACATTACTCTGAGTCCATGAAGATCCACATTACACAGCCTGGCAGGAAACACTCTCTCAATGCATGGCTGCTCTTCTGAAGGATGCAGGAAAATGTAAGGACTTTGCCATTGTCTTGTCAGACTCGAGCCTAATATTCAGAGTTGACAGCCCTGTTAAAATCCTTGTTTAATAGATGACCTCATAGACTGTGGCCTTCTTGTCACCAGAGCCTGTTACAATGTATTTGTCATCTGCTGAAATGTCACAACTTAAGACGGACGAGGATTCTTTTGACTGGAAAAGGGAAAAAAAGAAAAAACTTAGCTCAGATTCTAGATCTTCCACTTTCAACTGCATTTGACTAAGCAGAAAAGCTTCTTTGTGATGAGACAGTTACTGTTATTTACATGCAAAACAGTGATACATTAAAAGTTTCAGAGGCACCAAAGTACGCTTTTCTGTCAAGTTCTTTCAGCCACATTCACTTATATTTACTACCAGTCATTTTTAGCCAGTGGGTTCTCCTCTCAGCTCCACACGTTTTCTGTGAGACACTGACCCGACGGCTTGCAGACATCCCTATCCTCACTGCAGAAGAGTGGGATGTTACATCTGCCCCGTTCACGCGGTAGGTGAGCCCAGATTTTAGTTTCTGCACAGACAATGGTGTTAGCCCCTTGCTTGGAGACCCGAGGTCACTCTCAAACCCTGCTCGCTGCATACAAGAGGGACAGATGTTTGAAAGGCCCAAGCAAGAGCAGCCTCTTACCTGGAATATGCTTGCTCCATATGGCGTTCTCCAGGCGTTGAGAAGATTATCCTTTCCTGTGCTCACAAACCATTTACCTAAACACACAAAGCACGGTGTCAGTTCCCCCACACCAGGGCAGGTCAGACACAAAAGCTGCAACTTCTATTGTGTAGGTTAGTTTCACAATGGGAACATTATTCCAACGGTGGGGCTTTTCTGAGCCAAGCCTCTGTCAGCTCCCAAGCAGGAGATTATTAGTGACTGTGAAATCAATGCATGCACCATAGGGAAGGTCACACATTGCCCCTCTCCATTTCTGAGCTGAGCCCACATATACTAACAATACCTACCAATGAAAAGGTCTGGCAGAACCCTGGCAAGTGACACCACGTTTCCTTGTATTTGCTATCTACATATGTACCAGCGTAGGATTATAGAACAGAAAAGGCCATTTTATTATTGTTAGTACCTTTTAATCAACCGCTTCGATAAAGTTACCATCACCATTTGCTTGCCTTGTCACTTCAGAAGGCAACTGGCTTTGCTTTGAGGATAGCAGCAAACTGGGGTAGCTCAAAATGTGAAATTTTTAGTAAGACGATTCACCACACCTAAGCCTTGGCTGCCAATCAGTGCATTTTCCCTCTGCTTTGGTTAGCGAGTTAACGTGTGGGCAGGACTTTGATTAACACAGTTTTCAGTGATATTGCTTAGCACTTCACACCTTCAATCTGATTGAGCAGGGAGGTTGTTTTACAACTGGAACCTACAATTTAACCATCCTCCTTACAAATCCTACTGGAAGTCGTCTACACATGTGAATATACCATGGACCAAACATATACAATCTCTTATGGAAACGCTCAGGATGGTGGTTCAGAGAGGTCCCAATTCAGCCGGACTTACCCATATGCCCAATTTTAAACACACAAGCAGCCCTGCTAAAGTCAATGGGACCAGAGCTCTTAACTAACCCAGAGGTAACTTACCACAGTAGGCAAATTTGAGTGAAAGGACGCAGCTCTCGTGCAGGTGAAGCTGGTATTTATCCGGCTTGGTGTGGTGCAACACCTCAACGTTGCTGCTCTCCATGCCCACTGCAAGCCACTCCCCAGTGGGGCAGTAACCCAGCGAGAAGATCTAAAGGGATATTCAAACAGTCTCAAAACTCAAGTCGTTCATCCCCTCGCCAGCCAATCAGTTTCCTGGATTTGCCAAACCTTCTGCAACCCACCTTGCTACAGACCTGGGTTTTGTAAAGAGCAAAGGTAACAGACCCCCAGGCTGTGCTGGAGACCACCAGGGTGCTCCTTTACCCAGAGAGCAGCCATGGTCTGCTCATGTGCATGCCATGCTTCTCCACCCTGCCCATGCAGCAGGCCGCGACCACGCTGGGGTCACTGCCACAACAAGGAAGCAGCTGAGACAGTTACTCTGATGCCAGTTGTGATGTGGGCACCCATCAGCTATGGCCCAAACTCACACCATCAACTGTCCCATTTTTAGTCACTGCAGACCTTACCCAGATTTAAACAAGCAACCTAGTGGCGAAGATTTCTGTAGCCAGAACTACCCAGTCCCCTAAAAATGCCTCTCCTAGGTTGCTGAAGTGTAAGTATTTTCCTCCTGACTGAGTACTGCCCAGTATACGACTAGTCCTAACCTAACAGCAACAGAAATAACTGCACACTTTGGGGCTGGCCGAAACACAAGCCCGGTTTCATACAATGAATTTCCCCCACCCGAGAAGAGTACACATTTACATCGCCACCCAAAGCTACAAATTCTTCAAGCCCTGGTGACAGGGAGTCCAGTAGCAGTACTTGCTGAAGAAAACTGTTTACATAACATATGAATTGATCTACTTAAATGAAAGGGGGAAAAAAAAAAATCAATGGAGAATTATCCCGGAAACTGCAGGCCCTTTCTCCTATGCACACTCAGAATCTTAGTAACCAGGAACTAAACACTGATTATCCTGTTTTTCCTAATGTAAGCTTCAGTGCAATTAAATACAAGACTAAGCTTCTGCACTGCTGGATTTTCCATGGCTTCTGCAGCCAGGCATTACTGACTCCAGCTCTGTTGAAAGCAGAGGATCAATACAAAAGGCACATCATGGAACAGGAACTTTTTATTTAAACACACACAGATTTGTTCAGAGAGAGATTCTGGTCCTTCTATTGATGGAGCTGGAGTGGGTCAGGAGCATTGTTTTCCTGGAATGGCAGAAAATTCCCTGCTCTTCATTTATAGTCTTATGCTATTCCAAGTTCCAGTAGAACTGAATAAAAATTAAGGCCTCTGCTCTCTCCTGTCCTGGGGGGCACACATGCCCTGGGTTGATATTAAATGGGTGTCCTTGCTACCACAACTGACAGCAAGATCGACAACTCAGAACAAAAGTGATTTGCTGAGTTTGGAAGGAGTCTGCTTCAATCTCCTAAACTACTGACATTTTGAGTCCAACAAAACCAGGACCCACATGAACAAGATACAAGGGATTTTCTTCTTTTGAATCCAGCACTGTAGCCTCAAATGCAGCCTCCTCCAGGGATGAGTTTCTAGCCAGAGTATTTACAGAGATGGACAGAATGCGTCTTTCCAACATTACCCAGTGTAGGAACACTCTGCCTGGAAAGCTGCAAGATTAACTGGGCTTTAAGTCCTGCCCGTTCCTGGCCTGGAAGCCACGATGGCACTGACTGCATGGCATCAGGCCGGCCAGATTCCCTCTGCCAAGCGTCAACACAGTGGGAACTCCTGACAGGCCGTGTGTTCAGCAGAGCCATCAGAAACGCACCATTTCTATTCCCTTATCAGGCACTTATTTACACATGTAACTAGCGATATGGGGGCTGTGGAAACGGATGCGCAGCGACAATGGCCCAGGCTCAGGTATTTGGAGTAAGCCTCAGGGTACTCAGTGTGCAGTTAAATAGAAACTGGAAATCCCATAGGAAGTTGGGAATTCGTATCACTTACAGCAGCAGCAGACCAGGTTAATCCAGCATGGGTTTGCTCACCATTAAGACAACAGCATTTACCAACAGTAAGATCTGAGGTACTAGTTTACCCCTAAAGATGGTAATCCAATGAAATTAACAGGCAGCATGTTTAAGGCAAACAAAACGAAGTGCTTCTTCACACAACGCGCAGCCAACCTGTGGAACTTTCTGCCAGGGGATGTTGTGAAGGCCAAAAGTATAACTGGGTTCAAAAAAGAATTAGATAAGTTCATGGAGGACAGGTCCATCAACGGCTATTAGCCAAGATGGTCAGGGACACAACCCCATGCTCTAGGTGTCCCTAAACCTCTGACTGCCAGAAGCTGAGACTGGATGGCAGGGAATGGATCACTCAATAAATTGCCCGGTTCTGTTCATTCCCCCGAAGCATTTGGCACCTGACATTGTCATAAACAGGGTACCACGCTAGATAGACTACTGGTCTGACCCAGTGTGGCCAGTCTCATGTTCCTACCTGTGGCAATTGTGTGGCACCTGTTGACAAATGTTGGCTTCTTAATAGCAACCACCGCTCATGTCACTGACTTCTTGACAAAGGAACGACCACGGTGTTTAATTAAGACATTGCAAGTCCGTACACTAACAAGGAAAAGCATCATTCCCCTACCACCCATAACCTGCTAGGGACACAAACCTTCCAGCAGGGCAGTCGGGTCTGCCCCTCTGCCCCACCTGTGTAAGACACCCAAAGTCCCAGGGTTGTGGCACCCTCCCCTTTAGATTGCTAAGAATATTAAGACGCATCCTGCCAGTTGCCATGGAGATCCTGGAATGACATTTCAACACACACAAGAGAATCAGCCACAAACTCCAGCCAACTACTGGTGATACCAGATAACTTTAAACCCACTGACGAGAGAATAGCCCACCTCAGTGCCAAAGGAAACACCCCATTCGTCAAAAGTCATAAGACTATGAAATTTGCAACAGCCCGGAACCGGGCAGTCTTCCCTCCTCCAGAGGCAAGAGAAACCCAGCGCTTACCTGGGAAGTGAAGTCATGTTGCTGGAGCTGTCTTCCTTCCCTAAGGTCCCAGGAACGCACTGTGTTGTCCAGACCACCTGTCCATAATTTTGTACCATCATGCGAGATATCTATGCAGCTTGCACCATCTGTGTGGCCTTGGAATTGCCTGAGAAGCCAAAATCCAACACGCAAGAGGAAGGGCTTTAGAAATCTCAAACACACACATTTGTCTCTCTCTCAACATTTGTGTTACATTCAGGGATCAACAACAGCTCATCGGTATCTGTACAGTCACTCCAAGGTCGAGACAGTCACTGATAAGGAACCTGGATGCCATGTTTATATAGAAGAAAATTCTGTGTGTGAGACAATGCAATCCAACAAATGAAGTTGCACCAGTTCCAGTCTGTTCTGCAGGCCGAGTACTGGCAGGGACTTAACTGGGGAAAGAAGTAGTCGTGCTTTCCTGAGCTCTTCCCACAAAATCAACCTCTCCCATCTCTCAGAGCTAACATTTCAGGCTCTGACACCTCCACCGGTTTGCACTCAGTTCCCATTTTCAAGGTTTCGTAGCAGCTAGAAACTCACTTTCCTTTCTCAATGAAAGCTGAGACGTGAGAACAAGAAGGAAGCTTGAGAGAGATGCCAGTGGACACTGGCCCAGTTTGAGCTCTGATCACAATTTATATATTGTGCCCATAACCTAAACTAACACTACTTCCTTTCACTTATTGCCAGACTTTCTGCCATTTGTCTTCTTGAACAACCCAAGAATGTTGTTCAAAATTAACGTTTTGGTATGAAAAGCACACAATTCCAGACACCGACCTTACATACCTTCACACTGGTGTCTTGGCAACATCCATTTCTAAAGACTCACCTGACCAGTGTCTGGTTGTGGAGATCCCACACAGCAATATTGCCGTCGCTGCAACAGGAGAAGCAGACTTTTGCATCAGGGCTGATTGCCAGAGCATAGCATGCTGGGGCAGAGGAGGTCAATTCAGCCTTGATCCTTGGCGTCGGGGAAGCCAGGTCCCAGATCGTAAGCGTACTCGCTTCCCCTCCCACAATAAGCGTGCGGCCGTCAGGGAGGAGTTTGCAGGAACGGATGTAGTTGTCTCTGTTCTGCAGGAATAAGCAACAGTGCTAGAGTTACCGGGAGGTTCTTGTCCAACTCGTCTTGTAAGAGGCACAGGGGAAAGTAAGTGACATTCTTTCTGCATGGTCAGCATGAGCAAGCTCACTATGGTTCTGAAACTAGTCAGAACGGATCAGGTTAGCAAGAACACACACATGGCAAAGCATCGGTAGACACTCACACCCATATGCATATTCCGCCTGCAACTTACCAAGCAATCCAGCTGTGAAATGGGACTCTTACTGCCCGGCTGGCTGATATCCCAGATCTTCACACATCCCTTTCCTCCGGTGTACACGTGTCTGGTTGGGTTGCTAATAGTCACAGCACATACCACCTCCCCGTGACTCAGCGTATTGATCTGCCGAGCGTGCCTTGGGATGCCAGGGCCAGCAAGGGCATCGTGGGGGAACGGGACCGGCTGCATCTGCCCATCAGCGCTTACGTGAAATGAGTAGGCTCTGTAGGAGGAGAACGAAGGCGGGGGGGAATTAGGCCAGGAGAGAGGTTTACACACATGGCACAGAACCTGCAGTCATCATGTAGTTGCTTGACTGCTCTGATGTCTGGGCTGTGTGCTCCCTTTCCCAGGGAGCACATCTGCCAGTCACTGACTTCCATGGGGATGTTGAGGACGCTAAGGAGGCCAGACTAGACAATCACAATGGTCCCTTCTGGCCTGGGAATCTCTGATGGTCCCTGCAGCTCTGAAAATGTTCAGCTGGGCACTCTGTGCTCCCAGGGGCGGGACTGTCTGCAAACCCGGGGACAAGGCATCGAGCACTCTGGAAGAAGCCACGTATCTTTCGCACTAAGGCTGGGCAGCACCCACTTGCCTGCGCTGTTTCTGGCTGGGGGTGGGAGGTGGGGCGCGGGAACGGGGCAAGGGGCACGTAGAGGAGTAAAGCAGCATGGAAGTGGTGGCAGGAGGAGGAAGCAAACGCCCCATGTCACCTAACCATAACAGCACAGGAACAGAAAGGGTGGCTTACGGCTTCCCGCCGGGTATGGACGCAAGACTTGTGGGGAGACCAGGGCCCCTCATGGGCGGATGGGGGTCAAAGCCGACCTGTAAGATAGACAGAAACAGCCTCAGATGCTGGCTGCTGAATGAAAAGTCCCCGCTTCTGACACACACCAGCAGCGAGACTGAGCCAACTCCCACATGGCATCGGAGTGTGCGGAGGGGAACAGAGGAGTACAGGCTTTCCCTGGCTTTTTGCATTTCACATCACTCCTCATGCCCCTAGGACAGCTGATGACAAATCAGTGTGGAATTATTATTGTTCATCTCCCCAGAAATGGGAAGCTACTGCCAGGATTACCCAGGGTCTGGGGATCTGCAGGACTGGAGTGGAAATCCAGTGGAAACAGGTGTTCCCCAATGTCCCGCTGCTTCCAGATGGGCAAGGAACCCTATGGCCAATGCCAAGGTCCTTTCTCCATGTGCTAATCAGCCCATACTCAGGCAAGCTCCCGACAAACCTACAGGAGAGCCTGGGTCTGGACTGGTTATAACTGGGCAGGGACCCCAGAATATGGCCCCACGAAAACAGCTGAGATCAAGGCCTGTGCTCGGATTTACACGCCCCTGCAAACAGGTGCCAGGGCTGGTCCCCGGCGGCGCGGTGCCATGGCAGCTTCCGCTAACTCCAGGCCAGTGCTCAGCAGCTCTCGGTTCAGACGGAGGCGGCTCTCCCGGCTCCCGCAGTCCCCGCGTTGAGGTTTGCTGGGTTTACACTGCAGGAGTTGGCACTGAAGCCAGGCTGTTCTCCGAAAGCCCATCAGAGGAGCAGAACCAAAAGCAGCTGTCTGCAAGCACCTGGCTTTATAGCAGTGACTCACTCCACCGCCCTCCCCGCTTGTAAGACGCCGACCGGGTGAGAGCCCAGAGCTGGCTGTTCGCTCCCCACGGGGGAGAGCCCAGAGTTCAGCACGCTGGCAGCTGCCTGCTGCACTCTAGACTGCCTGGGCTGGGAAGTCCCCCACCCCGCCCCGACGCGCCCGGCCCCGGCGTGACCAGAGAAGGAGCTAAAAGGTCTACGTACAGCTCCGAAGCTCACCATTGGCGATCGGCCATAAGCGGCCGCGGCACTCATCTGGGGCGGGATGTTGTGGAGCCCCGCGTAGGCCCCCGGGCTCGTCAGAGAGCCGTTCATTTCATGGTGTCCCATCATGGCGAAGGGAGCCGCATAGGAGCCAGCGATGGATAGGGGGTTCCTCAGGGCAGACGCTGGAGAGGAGGAAATTGGTCACCACTAGATTCACTTACCAGAAACCTGGGAAAGTTCTAGCCTGCTAAACTAAACCCACAATACCTGACTCCTTGGGGCATCCCACCCCCGCCCCATGCTCCTGTCTCCCTGGAAACGGGCAGGGACGGGGCGGCTCTAACGGGATGACCGTTAAGGCACAAACTAGCAGCGTGTGGTGGGTGAAGAGCTGGGGAGCTACACCTGCCGGAGGAGCAAAGCCCAGGAAGGGCCCTGACACGCTGGCCTCCAACCTCCCCGGCACGTTTCGGTGACGTGGCAGCAGACTGCCGCCATTCTGACGCCACGGCAACGGAGACTGCAGTGCGGCTCTCGGCGTTCAGCCCCGGCGTACGCGGGTGCAGATGTCGCTGGTTTCAGGGGGGGCTGTAGCAGCTCTGAATTTGGTCCAAGCTCTCCTCCTCCCCACGGCAGCAGGAAGGAGCGTGCACATGCTGCGTCCTTCCCTTTGGCTCGCTGGAAATTGGGGCGGCCCTGGCCAATTTGCCACATTAGGTCTGCAAACTCCTCCAGAGCTCTGCGCCCAGCACCACAAAGGTGGTTATACAGCTCTGCAGCGACCAATGCCATAAACCATCAAACCCTCTGGCATTTAGAGCGTAGGAGGCCCCGGTCAGAATCAGGGCCGCACTGTGCTAGCTATCACATAGCAAATCTAGGCCTCTCCCCCAAAAGCACATACCCAGTGGGTCCATGCCTGCTGGTTTGCCCGGCATAGGCCGAAGGCCTGGAGTGGTACTCGTCCCGGGAGTTGGGGCTTCGTTCCTTGGCGTAGGAGTGTTTGACTTGAGCCCAGGCGTTGACGATTTGTCGTTCTGGCCAGAAAGAAGAAAACCCAAGAAGAGATGTGGCTTAGTGATCAGCATGAAGAGACCCCTCTCCTTTCACTGCGCCTTGCTGCCCTGCCTCAGGCCCCGGCAGCGCTGAGGAGCAACTCAAGGAAAGGTGCATGCCTGGCTCGAGCTCACGGACTGGAGGCGAAATCCCCGTGAGGACAAGGCAGTGTGTCATTGTCACTGAGTTCACAGGGTTACATTAAAAGCCGGTCTCTCGGGACGACAACATGCTGCCTTGTCCTCACTGGGGTATCGCCTCAAGCCAGCAAGCTTGAGCTAAGAACGCACCTTTCCCTTGGGAAGACGTGGCTGAGAGGTTTAGACACCAACTCTGCACACCACATGAACCAGCCTCCTTCCAGAGGTAGGGACAGCCCCAGCCCTCCCCCCAGCGCCTGGCTGCCGTGTACTTGGCACCAATCCACCTACATGGCCCAGGTCTTTAGTCTTCGAGGAAGGCGTACTGCTGGACGAGGCGACCGAAGCAGGGCTGTTCGGAGCATCCTTCTTCAGCCCTCGGGTTTTGTCTATCCCGTTCTCAGGCGGCGAGTGGGCTGGGCTGACGCGGGGTGTAGCTGGATCCTAAAGACAGGACGCCATTTAGCACCCGGCCAGTGGCAGAGGTGGGGGAAAGCTTTCAAGTGCCCACTTTTCAAGGTTTTTAAAGCGCAGGAGGGTCATGCCCATGCTGACCACGCAATTCTTTGTTTCACATGCTGTCGTCACATTCAGATACAGCGGGAAGGGCCTGAGTTTAAGGTAGCCCAAAGAGAGAACGTTTAAACTAAGGGGGGAAAGGGACTGGCTGTGGGAAGGGACACAGCTCCTTTCACTTCTGGGCTTCAGTTCAAAGCCGATATCAAAGCAGTGGCCTGTGTGAAGAGAGCTACGGCAGGACAGGCCTCAATAAAACGCGTAGCAACTCTGTGTCCGCACCACAGACGCATTGACAAGTCTCACTGATCAACGCCTTGTCGGGGCTAAGCCAGGAGAGGCCAAGGGAAGGACAGGCCTGGGAACAGGACAGCCTTCTCCAGCTCAGGACTGGGCCTGCCACTGCCTGAGCGATCCCTGTCCTGTGGGGACACAGTACATGGGTCTCAATATGGCCGCTCTTGGAAAGAACAAGGAGGCGGAGAAAGGCAAGGCAAGGCCTCCTAGCACTAGACCGTGCTTTGTGATGGAGATTTAGGGCCTGCACACCAGGTCTGGTGCCTCAGTTCCCCCCGCAAGTCAGCATTAAACCAGAGCGAAAGCAGCAGCCTTGAAAAACGACACCCATGCTCACCTCATTGGAGACGTCGACCACCAGGTCATCGCTCTTGTCACCATCGCTGTCCTGAAACAAACAGAAAGTCACCCTACTGCGAGAAGAGCCGACTCCGCCAATCCAGAAGTCAGGGGTAGCATTTTCAAAAGCACCCATGGGATTCTGGAGCCTAGAGCTCATTCAAAGGCAACTGGACTTCAGTGCTTTTGAAAACTGTAGCCAAGATGGCTATAAAGAAACCCGTCACAGAAGGAGCTCTCTTATCCTGCACTACGAGATCGTTCCCCCATGTTACACCATCTGGCTGGAACACCTAGTTTTCAGACACGCGCAAGAGCTAAGGGAACATCAAGAAAGCTCTTGTGACTTACATAGCGGCTCATGCTGTCCTTCTCCTCTGCTTTCCGCTTTTTGGCGTCGATGCTGTAGTCCGTAGAACTCCTGTGTTTCTCACTAGCTCTCAGGCTGTCTGATGGTGAGACAGAATTATTCTGGAATCACAGAAAAAAAATCCAAGAAGGCGTTCAGCTCCCCATTAAGTGGGTTATCGCAGTTTCAAGTGATTTCAGAAGTGGCAGCATTTAAAGCACAGCTAAAACAGTCTCTGAACAGGGCTGATTCTTAAACGCAGACCCCTGACCCTCTCAAAACGAACGAACGAACACAAACACACACACGCTATTTTTATGTAATTCTTATAGCCCTGCAAAATGCAAGCAGCTGAACTATGATGGGAGCCAGAAGAGAGCTCAGGGCACCATCCAATGGCTTTCTTTACAATCACACAGAAGGATGTCGAATGCCTAATTAAAGGGGTCATGCCCTCCAGGGCCAGGGACCTGCCTGTTTGAGTGCCCCTCTCCTCAGGCCATGTGGCACCAACAGAGGGGCTTGCTCCTGGCCTCCTCCTGCCCCACAGGTCAGAAGACAGCTTTCTCCACTTGGGAGCCCACTCTGGCTCTGACACGACACAGACTTTGGCAGGTGAGCAGCCCGGCTAGCCCCGACAACCCTGCACTACTGAGCTCTACACAGAGACAAAGACAAGGACACCTGAAGCTGCGCCCTGACATGCTGTAGGGTAGGACTGTGGACAGTTGTCTTCAGCTTCCAATGACCAGGGCCCTGATCCTGCAAACAGCACCACGTGGGCAGACCCTGAGCCTGCATGGAGCCCGTCGGACATGAGCAGGGCTTTGTGAGGGGCACGGGGGTCTGTCGGTGCAGAGCAGCCCACAGCTTTGTGGCACAACTTGCTGAGTTTCGAGTGCATTGAAAAAAAGCTCACCAAAACTAGCCAGTTCTTGGGAACTCATTTCCTCTACCACACGAGTACCTGAATAACTTTCCTCTGGCCAGGAGCCTCACTGAAGTCCTTAATTATGTGCACAAGTAAGGTTACTGACTTGCTAAAGGGTCCGCAGTGTCATATTGATGAAGTTATGCATTCTGGATGAAACTCTGGTTCCCATTAAGTCAGTGGCAGAATTCTCATAGACTTCAATGGAGCCAGGATTTCATCTGCTGGGTTTATTAGAAGGCAAACTGCAAAAGACTCAACATGCTACACTGGAACTGTTTTACATCAATTGCAACTGGACCACGTTGGGAACTGATCTCTGCCAAGCCACAAGACATGCAGAAAAGATTTTAAAAATAAACATTGACATGATGTCAGTATGGTCACGTAGTCAGGTTGGTGGGCTTTGTTTTGTTTTTCCTCTAAGCAACAGCATCCGATCTCAGAAAACATCATTCGATATGTTTGCTCCTCCAACAAGGCCTCTTGCATGCCAAGTGTTAGCTAAGAGCAAAAATGGCAGAGCGAAGCCGCCTTCTGAGAGCGGAATTTAGCATGGAAAAAAAACAGTTACTTGGCCTTTAACTACAGCAGTGCAAACTGGGGATGTTCTCAGACAGACGCAATTCAATTAGTTTCTACAAGCTGCAGCAGAAATTACCATCATTTCATTTCTTATAGGAGTGCCTGCCACCCCATGCTACATAGAAATGTTTTTAAGCTCCTCTGCTTCCTTTTCTTTGGTGTCTGAAAAGGAGAACTAAAGCAGTTCATGTTTCTCCTCAGTACCCAATAAGCAGCTTTGGATAACACCAGGGCCTTTCTTCTCAGGCAGTCATGCTGAAAAAGCTCGCAGCTACCAGAGAATCATGTCAAGCATTTAGAGGCATTGATCCATTCAGCTGTTTCTTGGCGCACAGCCAAGAAACTAAATATTTTTTATTGCTCAGGCTAGGAAATATGAATGAATCTAGTTTTGCTTATAGTTCACATTAAACCCCCAACGGGAACATTTTCCCAATTCCAAAGAAAAAGGAGCCCAAACATTTGTATATTTCGTACAAAACCCGCCCTCACCGTTCCCTACAACCTTAACAAGCAACTTAATGATGGCCAATCCCTCCCGTCAGCCCCCCCTTAAATGGCACTTTTATTTCCATCTGCATTTGACTCTCAAAAGGCCCATTTGTGGTCTCTGCACTGTGAAAGTCGGCTATGCACGGATGACAGGAAATCAGTGCAAAGTGAAGACTCAACTGTTTTTTGTCCTGCCAGCTTTTCTTTTAAACAGAAAGCATTGTGTACCTTGGGATAAGGCCCAAAGCAAGGGCCAGGGGGGGTGAGGGGGGAGGAAGGGGATAGAATTAAAGAGGGCTGAGGAGGAGGGTGGACTGTTCTTTAACAAAAAAAATATTAAAGAAAAAAATAACTAAGTGCGGCAGCAGGTTTGTGTTAGTTTCTGCCCATGCAAAAATGTCTCTCTGGAATCATCCTCCCCTTTTCTTGCCAAACACCAAGACTGTCTTCTAAGATGCAACCAAGTCAAAACAAGAATTAACAAAAAGCTGCTCGAGGCAACAATTGCCCACAACCATTGCTATTTAGATGGTTAGTTAACTGCTTGACCTTCCAAGTCCTACTTAACACAATGTAATAGCCAAAGCCATCCCAACAGATTAGATGACCCAAGATAATAGAACAGTGATCAGGAATAAAATAGCTTTCCTAATCGCTGAAGGAGTTTTATCCCTACAGACTTGACTGCACTCATTCACAAAGCTTATTCAATTGAAACAGAATCTTAAAGCTGTGCAGCAATCAAAAAGATTTAAACCAAATCTCATAACTGGCATACAGGAGTGTACCGGCAAGACAATGTGCATTTGCTTAATGTTTACTTCAGCAGAACCGAAGCAGAACATAGTCAAAGTCAAAAAAAAAATTCTATTTTAGTTAGCCCCACCCATAGGATTTTTTTTTTTTTGGGTCCAACAGAGATCACTCGAGAGTCTAACCCCGGAAGTCTGCTTTTAAAAACAATAGATAAATTAAAAGAGCACAGTGATCAGAAACCAAGATAAAAAAGAAAAAAGAAAAAGAACATAACAGAACTTACTGCATTTGAGTCTCGCTCTGTTAGGAATGAGGCCCGTGTCAGAGGTAAGGTCCCAGCCAAGATAAAGAGAAGACAGAAAAATAAAACAAGTTCAAATAAGTCTTAACAGAAAATAAACCCCGCAGTTCCTCATCACATGTGACTTCTGGCTTAATTCAATCAAAGCGTTTCTGGCTCTTTTCATTTTAAATTAGCTTCCCTTGCTCAATCACACACCCCCAATATTCCCCCACCCCCACCCCCGTTTTTTTTTGTTTGTTTTTTTTGTCTAAGTGAATTATATGGCAAAATAAACAGTGTCTAAGGGGAAATGCATTGAAATACAAAGAGAAATGGCAGGAACTAAACTATTTACACATGTTAAGTCATAAATCCAGGAGGCGAAGATACTGAACATCCAGACTCATCCACTTTGTAGAATTACAAAGATAAGTGTTGCCACTTTAACGGGATGTGGTCAGAGGTTTAGTCATTAATTTATACATAAATAGACCCATTCTCCCACTAGATTGCCTGACAATTTAAACTCATGTAGAAAAAAAATGAATGTAATTTGATAATAACTTCCAATAATTTTTTCCTGAAGCTTTCACAGAGAAAAAATACCCACGACAATAGAACCTCCTAGGTTAGTAGAAGCACAAGATAACTACTCTAAAAGTTGATATGTCTAGGGGGAAGAGACGTGAGATCTTGATATATTAATAGAGAGCAGAGAAGTGTGGAACTCCTCTAGCACTGTACTGGTTTGTAATTGACTTGATGCCACCATTTTTTGTTCTACAAAGATTCTCTTATTATCTCTAGTGATTAAAAAAAATGACTTTGGCAGGGAGCATTGTTTATTTCCAGACGAGTGCAAGTTTCCAAGCAGATTTCTTGCAATTAGAGAGAGACTGTGCAGTTTCATATGATTCATTAAGCCCTGGCAGCCATTTTTAAGCAATAACTCTTGCTGTGTCCATATCTAGATATAAAGCTGGTTGGAGTGTTCTCACTGCCACCTGTAAGGAGCTCGTAAGGATGACACTTGCAAAGCATCTGAGTGTGTACAGTATAGCTATTTTGGATCCTCAAATAGATTACACAATTAGGACTAGGTCCCACAAATGGAGCGAGAGGCCCTGATTTTAGGAAAGGCATCAACTAAGCCTCCAAGAAAAGGCCTGCATATAAACTTATGGACACAAATCAGACTATTAGCAGGGGCAAATCAGGCAGCATAAGGTCAAATTGCTACAAAAGTGTGTCACCAAACCATGCTCACTATTACACATGGGCAAAGAAAACACCTCAGGGCCCAAGAAAATTAAACTTTTTTTTTTCCCATTGGAAATAAGTTGCTCCAAACATGAACTCAGGATTTGGCTAGTAAGAGGAGAAAGGCACCTTCGAGCAATCGAGGTCTCTGAAATATGCTGTCATTGTCAGTGACAACAGGTGAATTGCAGAGAATGTTCTACACCAGCCAGCCAGGCTGACTTGGGGGCTCACACTGGAAATACCCAGACTCCCTGAAAACACTAGTCCCCACAGAGTCAACTTGACATTGGCTTAGTGCAGGGGTAGTCAATAGGTGGCCCATAGGCCAAATCCGGATCGCCAGATGCTTTGGAACAGACCCCAAAATCTTTTTATTTACTTATTATTGTTTTGTTGTTTTCTGAATGTTCTCTGGAGTCTGGACCTTGACAAAACATAATTATTGCCCCCTGGCTTAGCGCCTTTGGGACAAGACCTCAGGAACAGAGTCTCCTGCTCAGGGCAGAGGACCAAACCCATGGCCCTTTGTGTAACAAATGGGGTAGCCCTGATGGCCCAGCCAAAAATTTCAGGGGCTGGGTTGGCTTATCCCCAAGGGGTATTAGTCACCATATAAAACTTACCCTCACTTTTATTTTCCAGCGTAAGGCATACAGTCAGAATAAAAATAAAAGACTGACTTTTCCAACCTGTTATTCCGCTACGAAACTTCGGGGTACATGATGCCAGAGCTACCATGAAGCTATACTAGAGCCAACTCTGAGTTCGCCAGGTAAGTACCTGTTTAATATAACTGCAGTGCTGTAGTTTCTTTTCCCATTATCCTTAGGGAAACAAAAATAAAACACCTTTGTAGTGATTTTTTTGTTTTTTGTTTTTTGTTTAAAATACACATACAGGATGTAGCAAACTCCCTATGTGGCAAGTGGTTGCTCTGACATCTGCAGCACGACCCATTGTGGATGCCAGTCTATTTTTAATTGGCGTTAAACGTCTCCACCCAACCCACTCACCGGGAGAGCCTAGCGCCTGCCGCTGAACTCTGGGGAGCGGACACGCTCTCTGCAATTCACCCTTAGTCTGCACACGCTGCCGATCCAGTTCTGCATCAGAAATGTTCAATGGTCGGGAAAAGGAATTAGTGCATCCCAGTGCATGTTCTCCTCCAACACATTTTTTAAGCGCTGCCTTGCTCGGTTCTATTTTTTCTGCCCAGATCCATTATAGTCAGCTGGGCCAACCCCTGGGGGGAAAGGACCAGGGACCACCTGGAAGGAGCTTTGCTCCATACAAGCACATCAGAGGGTTAATGAACAAACCCTCAGCCCCTACCACCTAGATAGCCAGGCCAGAGCCGCCACTACAAGGCACAGATGGAACAGAAGAGACAGTCCACGGCTTCCCCTATGCAGCGGGATCCCATCAGTGCAAAGACCAACCGGCTGCACTGCAGAAGCCAAGCAAGTCCCCTAGGGTGGGAAGCTGTGGAGATCTCTAGAGGGTGCCTTGAGATGAGCGGTCTCTGTGCTAGGAAGGTCTGGCGCCTCCTGCAGGAGCAGAGGGTGCCCCAGGGTTCGGTCCCTGGTTGTTAGAGGAGTCACAGAAGCCCATCAATGCTTTCGCTGTAGCATTGCCCGTCAGAGGCTTAGGAGCATTTCTGAAGAGCCCCGAGGCGCAGAGACGAAGAGAGAGGGAGACAAGAATATGTATCTGTAAGGCCTTTTGTTCTCACCTCGGTGATCCAGGTCATGATGGTTTTTCTCATCTTTAACGGTCAAGTGGGCTTGGCTCCCAAGGGCCCCAAGAGCCAGCAGTCCTGAGCTACTCCCCGTGACGGGAGGGATTCCTGGCGGCTGAAGGCCTGAAGGGTGAGGAGGCAGCTGTACCGGGGGGCCGTGAGCAGCATGGGAGAGGTGTTGGGCCTGGAGCTGCTGCTGCTGCAATAAAATCAGCGGTAAGCAATTGATGGGAAACGGCATGTTATGCAGATATTAAATGGTCATGTGACATTGGGAGGAGTCTCTGGAAGGGGCGGAGCCTGCTTCACGCACTCAGAACATTATGGGGGAATATTAAACTGGATTAAAACTCCATATTCTTCTGTCTGCAAGGAGAATCCATGCTAGGAAGAGTCAGACTGAAGGGAGGGAGGCACAGACACAGGGCAGAGCTTATAACTGCAGCCCTCTGAGCCAGGGATAAATAGCATAGGTGTTTGAAAGACATCACTTGGGGGGCTCCATTTCATTCCCGGCAATCCACGTTACCGAGAGAACCTGGCATTTCTGAGATGTAAGCAGAACAAGGGGGGGAAATACACCCAGCACAACTCCTCTGAGGCTTGTTTTTGCCAGATGTTAAAACTGACGTGATCTGGGAAGAAAGGAAAAGGGTCCAGCTATCCTTTTACGCTGCCTCAGAAGGCAGTTCCTGCTTGTTTGCTGGGGAGTAATTTTAAGGTATTTGGCAGTAAAAAGAAAAACAGGTGGTTAAGTCTATTTGCACTTGTACTAGAGTATTCTAGCCAGCGCAGTGATACTCAGACTGAGGGGCGCGAGCCGCAAGTGGCTCTTTAATGTGTCTCCTGCAGCTCTTTAGTATCATCTGCTGCAAAACACTGCGTGATTTAAATATTAACCAATCAGGATGCCTTTGTTTTATTTATTTATATACATGTCATACTGTGTAAATAGGACTAGATAGTTCTATAGTAAATGAAACGAATTCCCACATCTGCTGCTCTTTTGGGTAATGCTGATTACTAATTTGGCTCCTGAAACCCTGAGGTCTGAGTATCTCTGAGCTAGCCTATTAACCAAGCGCCCAGACTTCCAAATGGAACAGGACCATTGTTACGAGCTTTGCATCTAGCAAGGAAGAGCCACCGTTCCCCTAAACACCCCAGGCCCCCACAAAACAGCGACATTTCTAGTGTCCAGATTCATTGCAACTCTACCCATTCCCTAAAACAAAGAGGCCAATTCCGCCCTGGCTAATGCTGCCTCCACTGTGGCAGCACACAGGGAAGCCGGCTTGGGGACAGGTTACGGATCTGGTTTTTCCTAACTCTGTTTAGCAATAGAAAGGAGAACACAGTTACTTCTCACTGGAAGCGTCGCACCCCCGGGAGTAACGCCCGGCAGGCTGTACCTCTGCAGCTTGTTAAGCAGATCTGCTGACAAGGTATCAGTTCCCGCCCGATAAGAGGAGTACAGAAGAGAAAGGAAAAGCCAGCCAGGTGGGTGGTGTTTTATTTTAAAGCACACCAAGCAGACTTTTGCCAGTGCCCGTCACAAGGACACGAGCTGCCTGAGCTTGGACCCTCAGCATGAACCTGCTGCTGGGTCTGTGGAGAGTGCTGCCTTGCATCAGCGCCATGCTGTGCCTATAAACTTGCCCTGCGACCCAAGTGAAAAGTCCTGAGGGGCGGGTGAATACTAGCACCGGTGACAGGGTGGGGTGATTGTGAAGAAGCATTCAAGGCTTTTGATGTTTATCCAAATCCCTTTGAAGCTACCACTTCCTCAGCCAAATACCTCCCTTTGACCCTCCCTTTGCTACATCAGAAAAGCCACAATTCCCTGCTGCGACATCCTGCACCCAACTGAGGCAGAACCCACTGCAAGGTCTAATCGATCAGGCTTTCTGCTGGGGCCTGTTCCAGCCAAGGCTTCCCAGAATGGCTCAGAGCACACAAGGATTTCCGTGCAGCAGACACAGTCAGGCCTGATGGATCTGGACACAAGGTACCCAATGAAAGAAGGACCTGAATATTCAGGTATACCTGAAAACAGGGGGCAGAGAGAGGGTGTCCACCTCCTACCCTTGCAGGAGGTCCCAGTTTCAGTATGGAGAACAGCCACAGACTTGGGCCTCTCTCAGAAACAGATCCCAGGTACGGTTGAATGAAAACCTAACACACCGTTTCCTCCGGAGGATGGCTGTGGGGCCGCTGCATGGCCAGGGACCCATAGGCCAGTGCTGGAAATGATGAAGTTGCAGGGCCAATTTCTGCTCCCTGCGGCTAGGCAAAGAACTGGAAAAACTCCTCTGAAGGCAGTGGCTTGCTTTGAGTTTACGCTGGTCCACGGACTACAGAACATGAGAAAACAAGAGGAATTTGGTTTCGGCCAACAACAGCTGGGGGACTCCTAGTTGTGCAGTTCTGAGCTCAGCTCTGCTGGGGGCCTGGGAACAATGGGGTTGTTTTATCCTTGCACCACATTGTCCATTCACAGAGGGGAAATTACAGGGGTTTGGCTGCAGTCTGAATTGCCTGCTTCCCTCTCCCGTATTTGTTTGGGTCATTTTAAGCAGTAAGTTATTTACTCAAAGGCAGTAACTCCTTGAAAGGAGCCATTAGAGCCTGTTGTGTCAACAGTGAAAGTATGTGGAGGGATAGTGGCTGCTGAAAGGGAAGGGAGTCAGGGCCCTTTGCAGCCCTAAGGATCTGAGCTGTTGCAAGTATTCTCCTTCGAGGCTCCAGAATTCACTGAAGGCAGAGTTACATGCTGGGTTAGCCTGTCCCCAGACGCTGCCTGCATTTGGGGCTTCAGGGAACACACAGAGCTGTAGATACCTGTTACAGCCTTCTACAGGGTGCAACGTGCACCCCATCCTGTCCCCAGCTCTGAGAGGCACGACCTCACCCTGCCATCTGGGCTAGAGTCCCCTGCTCTTTCTGAAGCACTAGGACAGAGGTTCTGCTGAGCCGGGGCACAAGGGCACAAAGATACTTGGGGCGGGACTGCGGGAAAGCTCCTCGAACCCTGTCTTGCTTGCATCTGCACTACCCCCACTCCCCTGAAACCCAGAGAGTTGAATTGTTAGGCCCTGATCCCACCAGGTGTTGAGGCTAGCAGGAGGTAAGGGAAAGCCCTTCGGAAAGCCCCACACTGACTAACCTTCTCCCCCTCGCCCCACCCGTCTGAGGAAGTGCCCTTCCTGCCCCTGTCCCCTTGGTTATTTCCCATAAAGAAGATCTGTTTTAAGGCATATCCAAAACTAGTGACCTGCCAATGTGTGCAGCTTAGCTTGCCTAGGCCACTGCGTGGCATTAGCATGGAGTGGAGGCTAGGACTGACGGACAGACATGTCCTTCAACAGCTGCAAGAGGCCCAGAGCTCAGTGGAAATGGTGAAGCCCAGAGGTGATGCAGAGTGAAGGGGCAGGGTGCGGGCCAGGGGAAGCATGACTGTGCCAGTGTGCCTGATGGGGTTCTCCACAGAAAGCTTTCGGTTTCTAGCACTCTCAGCAGGGCACATTTCACAAAGGGGGAAATCCCCACACGGGGCTGCGATTTGAAAGCTGGCACTATTTATTGCTTCAGAGTGAACTGTACATTTGAAGCATGGCCTATTCCAGAAACGTCACTTCTCAGCCATGCAAGAGGCCAACCTATTCCTTCAAAAGCAGTTTCACTCTCAAAGCTCGCGCCTCCCTCCGCGCTTTGGTAGTGGGGAGGGGAGGCGAAAGGGTGTGGGGATTTCAGGTGGCTTGATCCTACATCCACTGAAGCCAATGGAAATACTCTCCACTGACTTCAGTGGCATCAGTCTTAAAGGGGACAGGCCTGAACCTATGCTGCAAGAGCCACGAAGCTACACACCTGCATTTTATAGCCCATGGCCCCGTCTGTTGCTGGCACCACAGAATTGTCGACAAGAGGACTCCGTGGTCTGTGCATAACGCACGAGGACCATGCTGTGCAAACAGGAAAGAAACTTCCCACTCTGCCTCTCAGGAGAGAAAAGCAAGCAGCAGTTTATGAGGTGGCTGCAACCATTCACGCTGCCCATGACGTTAGCCAAAACTCACTCATCGCAATGTGACCCAAAGACCAGCCACCTTCGGAATCACCACCTGTGGAAACGGGAGGGATGTGGTCTGTCACCGAGCACAGCTTCCTGCCTCTGCAGCATGGCTCCCGGCTGGGCATTCCCCAGGGTTTGGTCCCGTTGAGTCGGAGATGTGCTGAGCGATGGCACCCCCACCACTTCCTTCGGCAGATTATCCCACTGACTAGCAGTTCTTAGCATCATCCTATTATCCTTAGCTACACCCTCTTGAATCATTCCTCTGCTTGCAGAAATCCACTCCCTTGATTCCCGCAGGCCGTCAGGCCGGCCCCCTCGCAGCCACACTGGGTATGTTTAACTCCCTTGTTTTGATTTACGAGGGACTGACAGACAAAGATGAACCATAATTGGCTACCGAAATCAATGAAGCTCTCTAAACCCAAACCTTCATTTGCCCTCCATTCCCCACAAACCCATCTCCTCTTGAGCCAGGCCAACATGGCCTGTTTGTGGTGAGTATTGGGGGTTAGGGGGTTATCTTTAAGCACTCACCTCTAAAGAATGAGGTAAGTGAATCCGTATGCACCAACTTCCTCTCTAGCCGGGGGGGAGGGAGGGGAAGATGCTCGACTCCCCACCCCAGGCCCCACTCCCAGCCTACCCCTTCTCCCAAGGCCGCACCCCAGCCCTGCCTCTACCCACCCCCTCCCCAGAGCATGCCCATCCCTGCTCTGCCTCCTGCATGCCAGGGAACAGCTTATCTGCAGTGGGTGGGAGGCGCTGGGCGGGGTGGGGAGAAGTTGATCAGCGGGGCTGCCAGTGTGGTGGGGAGGGGGAGGTGCTGGGGAGAGGAGGAGCTTGGCGGCTGGCGGGTGCTAAGCACGTACTAATTTGTTTTCCGTGGGTGCTCCAAAGCTGGAGCCTTGGAGGTTTTGGATAGCATCCATCTCTGTAGTATCTAGGCACTTCATGAGATGAAATTTTCTTGTATTATTTATAAGACTCAACTTCCTTTCAGAGAGAGAGAGATTAAGCCCAACACAGCCCACTACTGACAAAAGAGGGGAAAACATTTCTAATGAGCTCTCCATCTGACCGTGTTTTGTTTCTCTGTTATACTAGCAAGGGGTTTTCTTCTCTTTTCTTTTTTTAAAGACTTGCTGATAAACGTAGTATACAAGAGAATAAAATGTGGGGGTTTTCCTCCTGTTTTATTTGAAATTGTCCCCAAAGCTTTTCTGCTTTGGGAAAAAAAAAATGACTTTTTAAAAAATGCTCTTGAAAGTAAGTTTGAAGAGAGTTAAGTCCCTGCCCACATGGCTGGCGTGAGCCTGGAGAGAGGGGCCGTGTTAAAGTCTACCTCCTAGCACGGCAGCAAGGAGTATCCGAGTGTGCACGCTGAGGTTAGCCATTCTGTGGCCCTACCCAAGCTTTGAAATTAGTACCTTAGGTGCGAGTGGAGAGTGCTGGGCAGGAGAGATCACACCTTCGCCTTCAGCGACAGCACAGCCCCGCTGGTGTGCATTAGCAGGGCTGCGGTTGAGATGGTGACACCCCACTAGTGGGACCGTGGCTTTCGCTATACCGTGAAGTCTGCACCGGTGCAGCTTGTGCATCACACGGCCGGTACCCCAGCCAGGGAGGTTAAAAAAGAATGGCTGGAATGACTGTCACGGCAGTGAGGTGGGCATTGGAAAGAAGGCCTTCAGAATTAAATCTCTGATGGAAAGTGTGACCGAGAGATAGGTCTTCCAAACCCAGTGGTAAAGACAGCAGAGAGTAATGAGGAAGGTAAAACCAGAGGCCTCTCTTGCATACTGGGCCTTCGGAGAGGGCGAAGAGACGCCTTCGGGAAAAGCTACTGATTTTATCCCTGGTGACTATTAACACCTAGGCTGAAAACTTCCAAAAGCAGAAGTTTGGAATTTAGCATGGCTGTTGGAGCTCCTACTTCTCTCCCTTACATCCTAACTCCCCACAAAAAGGAATTGCTGGAGATGCACAGACACAAAGATGTTTTCCTTCCGGGGTCTTAACAAATATGGTTAAGATATGAGGAGGTGACAATTTACAAGGGAGGCTGGCAAGGAGTATCTTGTATGTAGCTGTTTTTAATTGGATTATGTACATCATACTTCATGCCTTTGTTAACCGATTTAATGGTTCACCACTTGAGTTCACCACTTGCGTTACATTTAGTGAAGTAGTCTAATCATTTCCAGAGCTAGAACCAAATCGAGGGCTCAATTTCACAGAAGCCTGGAGCAGGAGAACTGTAAGACAATGGCCTAGACGCATAAAATTAACAGTTCTTGACCTCAAAGGGGGGCGGGGAGGGAAGAAGAGGTTTTAATGATCTGCTGCATTTTCATACTTGTCAATTTTGTCTGCAGCATCTGAACTAAAAGGCGGATTCCTTCACTAGCTTATAAAGATACGTTCCTGGTGTTTATAAAGTCCTACTTGCATACTATAACAAACCTGTTTCCCCATAAAAAATTTCCTTAAAGTGTCATTGTCAAGTTTAGGAGGCATCAAATTCGAGATCTCCTCCACCTTTCCCGCTTCTGTTGACACAGCCCATGTCACTGTCTAGGTATGGGGTTTTATGTACATGCACACACATCCTTTCCCCCAAAAGTCAGCACAAGCAACCATGCCCCACACAAACAACCCTACAGCAATAAGCAGGGGGTGTGCACACAATGGAGAGACAGGAAGTTCGCCGAAGATCCCATCTCTCAGCTTCATGTGTCTGAAGGAGCTCTGAGGCAGCAAATGACACTAGCTGGCTCCTTTCAACGGCTGAGCAGTTCAAGAACCTTGTCCCAGGGAATCAAGAGCAGGGACTTCTCCAGGGAAGGGCTGGCTCTCCCGCACTGGGCAGTGCCCCATGTTAGAAAGGCCAGGGTGCTCTGTTCAGACAGCCTTTCACGCTCGGACTGCCGATTGCCCTACAGAACCACCCAAGTCCTCCAAGTGTCATGGTCAGCGCCCCCAGAGAGGCATGCTCTTGTTCCTTCCAAAGAAGCAGTATTGCTCTGTGGCTCGCTGTTTATGGGCATGAAAAAGCAGCGGGAATTACACAACCAGTCTGCCCCTCAGAGGTTGGGGTGATCCCCTCCCCCCTCTGCAATGCCTAGTTAACCAGAGGTCAACACCAAGCAGATCTGCCACATTGCAGCACATATCCGCTAAGCCATCGGGGGTGGGCCATGCACTGCATTAATGCCGAACCCTCTCTTCTCTTGCACGATCAAAGCTCATGGTGATCTCTTGCTGTCTTTCTGACAGCAGCCACTTTTGGGTTCCTTCCTTGACAAGATAAAAACGCTTGACTGGATTAGCTTTTATCCTTTGCAAGTGTGCAGTCAAGCATGGCCCCCCGAGCGAACGCACTGAGCGCCTGCCCATAATTCCTGCCTTGTGAAAATGTGTCAGGCAAAACGATTAAATGGCTGCCTGCTTAACGATGGGACGACAGTTGCATTCACTCTGATCTGAGGAAGCAATTACCTTCGAAATGGGGGTCACAGGCTCCACTCATTTACCTTAATTGAATTCCAATATCTGCCTCAAGCTGTCTTGACCTGCTGTGTAGCCTCCTAAATACTACTTAAAAGAAGCTAATCAAAGAAACGTCTCCATTTTTACACTTACACTATTGAGCCCCAGGATCACCCTGCTCCCCAGCCAAAGAGAGGAGCAAGAGCGCACAACTCCAGTGTGGTGGCACCAGAAATGCCAAGAACGGGAAATCAGCAGCAAGGCCGACAACACAGCAGGATCATCTCTTTAAAAGTCATCTTAAAACCCTAGTTTAAGAGGGGCTGTCATGAGGAAAGTTTGCAAACGATGTGGCAAATTGCCTGCATTGCTCTGTGCCATCGGAGGCCAAAGCACAAACACCCACTGCAAATCATTAAACACACTTGAGAACTAGACACCCATGCCAAACAAACAAGACACATTCTTGAGTCTATCAAAGCGTTTCCATGTGTCCCTGCACATGTAATTCAAACTTGGCCTCCACAAGAACGTGTTAAAAGGCAACGTCAAGGAGTCCGAGCCAAAGCTTTGATCTACCTTAGAGGTTATTGGGGCCAAATACCCAGTTCAAACCATCAATCCAGACTCGGTTTTGAGAGCCACCGTTTTCATGGGACACACCAATTACTGAGAGTCCCACGTTGACAACAGTTCACAAGATGACAATGATGAGGCTATTACCAGGGAAGAGGAGCCACGTTTGCCTCTGCTCCGATAAGAACAATGGAAAGAACCAAGTGCTGGCACAATGGACGTGACAAAGTAGTTCGGGGGAAGTTTCTTTTAGCTTAAGAGCTAAATGAAAAATTACTTTAACGCATTAGAGTTTATTCTTTGAAAATCAGACTTCTAACTGACACCATGGTTCTAGCTCCGACAGACAAAAGGGCTCGGTCTGCAGATGGGAGCGGAATAGTAGTACTCAATTACTGCACATTCTGTTGGGATTTTGAGTAAATACCTGTAGTACATCAAATGTAAGACCTATTTTGAGGACCGATCAAGCAGAACAATTGGCAAAGGTAATTCTATCACTGCTAGAAACAATTAAAACCATTGCAGTGTTCAACTTTTGGGATCTTAGTGATAAACACCCGGAACATTTACATGAGTAACTTAATGCGTGGAACACCAAGTCAATCGTATTTATGGCACATTTCACAAAAACAATACAACAGAGACATCTGATCTCAGGTGGCCAGAAGAAGGGCTAACACATCCAGACCAATTAAAAGAATAACAACCAATCAAGAACAGCCCCAAATCTCAGAAAGGTTTAGCTAGTTTCCCATATTGGGCTTAAATACAGATTTTTTTTACAAAAATTTTGCATTTTGATTGATCTCAGTGATTTGATCTGTAGCAGCAGCATCATCACCAGCTGCTAAAAGGAGAAATCAGTCCCTTTCCCCATGGCTGATGAGGCTTTAAAAGAAAAGTAAAAAGTAAAGCGCTAAGAAAAGGTGTTTTCATCACACTGGCAGCACCTCATGCTGTTTAAACCCACCTCTAAAATCAGTTAGAGCACTTAGAGGCTAATGAGGACACTCATATTTGCACTGCAGGAATGCTCAAAGACCTCATTCAGGATCAGGGCCTCACTGCGCGCTGGGCTACAGGGACCTGGTCCCAGCCCTGAATCAGTTTTCTGATTCCAAGACTACTCGATCAAACTGGGAATTTCAATTAGTAAAGTGCAGCCCTCTGGAAGCGACTGAGGTTCAGAGAAACGTTCCTGATTGTCAGTATCTTTGCAAGCTGCCATTCTTCAAAGCCAACTAAGTGCAGGATTGTCTCTGGTCATGGTAAATGATAGGAATAAAAGGGGTATACACACGGTGAGAGGCAGATTTGGAAGTCCACGTACCCCGATGATAGCATTCAGCTCTGTCATTGTCACTTGCTTGGCACGGTCAACAGCCTGGGCAACCTGCTGTTGGTGCTAAGAGAACAAAATTTCAAAGGCACATTAGAATAAGGAATGTTTCCAAGTAAAGAAAGATCAAAGAAAGCCTGCATACCCAAGTCAAGGGGCAAAGGCCTCAGCAACCTACCATCACTTTGCTTGGGGAGTTTGCTCATGAAAATGAGGAGCTAGGGATTAGATTCAGCTCCCTCCTTTACTGGGAGTTGCACTGGCCCAGAAAGCTTTGAGCAGCACGCAACAGAGCTGGGCACTATGCAAGTTTCCTTTTACCACTCTGATAATTCACATGCATTGTCTGTCGTGCCTGCACCCGTGGCCTCTGTTAAACAGAGGCGGACAGTCTTCCCACATTGTGACTGTGCACATTGCAAAACTGACTGTTAAGCCAGTCCGAAACCTTTTTCGTTGTGCCACGAGTCCGAATTTGAACCTGAGTCTAAAGACTTGTAGCACGAGCAGGATGCGTCTAGCACAACCTCCCCTTGGCCCAACATGACTTTCCAAATTGTTCTCATCACTATCAGCACCATGTGAATGGAAGACGGTCATACGGTAACAATTCACATCCATTCCCTTACCTCTTGTGACAGAAAAGGCATGATTTGAGCTAGAATTGTGTTCAATCTTTTAGCAATCTCGGTCTAAAACAAAAGAAAAGAAAAGACCGCATTTAGTTTAGTCTAAAATCACCTTGTGTGGACATGTCAGAAATATTAATGCATTAAGACAGACAGACTTTTCTTGGAATAAAGATAAAAAACAAACAAAAAACCCCAAACCAACCATCCCCCCCACCCCTTCCTTCCATTGATCATGTCACATAATAAGGAGCTAATTTTAAAGAGGCATCAAGAGCACACAAATATACCTTCTCTAAATCCTTCATGCCAGGTTCATGGAGGAAATAACTGTTTTATTGATCTGGCAAATTTTGAATTCCTTTTCCTGACAAAAGCTAAATGATGCAAAACAAGATTGGGATAAACTGAACCAGTTTCACGTCTGTCTGTATTTTTTACCATGATGGTCTCAAGAAAAAAATAATCTAAATGGTTAAAATATTGATGTTATCCAAATCAGCAAGGGAGCATGTGAAAAAATGTATTAGCCTAACGTGTCAGTTTCATATCAATCTCCCTGCAGCTGTTGCAAGGACACTGTGGTTACTCTAGCAGATCACTTAAGCCAAAGCAACATCCACAGGTTTATGGAACCCAGTCACACAGACACTTAAATAAGCTAGACTGTAAAGCAGCACAAAGACCAGCTTGGTTTTATTCACACTTTAGCAATTAATCCTCATCCCAGCATGGAGTTGTGATCCTTGTCCATTTTTCTAGGCATCTAACAGAACATCTAATCACCATAGCATTTCTCAACTCATAAATCGACGTTCTCCACTCATCAGTTCACTTTAGGTTATTACTTTATTTGAAAGGGAACTTTAAAAGATCACCGTGGCGTTCAGATAGCTTATATACAATTCCAAAGTGGAGGTGGCTTTGAGCTATGCTGATTAACATAATTCTGAAGCTTTATCTAAACATTTCTGCTGTTTTTGAAGAAATTTGCTTACGACAGTTCATTTCTTTCAAATGTAAAATGAATTCTGCAGTCTCAGCTCAGATCTCCGTGTGACAGCTTGTTGAGATCATACTGCATTCACGCTACTTATTTCCAAGAGTTAAGGGCTTTCTTTCAGAAAGAAAAGCTTCACATACAAGCCCTGTGCAGGTGGTTAGTCCCTGGCGAATCTTAGGCAGTGCTGTGAACAACCAACATCTTACTCTGATCTCGACTTTCCTCTGCAATTTTTTTTTAAGTCATTCTAGTTAATTCTGCAGCACTTACATTACATTCAAGAACTTTAACCCAAACCCATTTGCACCCGTCAGCTGACCACATAACTCAGAAGTTTAATAAATGTTCTCCACTGTCAAATTGTGGTTTTTGCAACATCTCTGTTGAGTAAAATGTTTTAGGATAAGTGAAAACCTAGATTTCATATGAGTCAGCAGTTCATATTTTAAACTTAAATATTATAGAACTGACTCTTCACTGAGATTCCTTTACACCACTCTGCCACTGAAAGAAGAACTTAAAGGGAGAGTTAATGTAACACACATCCATATGTGGCAGTGTAAGGGGCCCTAAGCACTGGGTCTTAGAACAGCTGAAAAGTAGGCCATAGACTCAGTTTAAGACACAGATAACAGACTTTTAGCTCTCCAGAAAGGAGAAATCCTAGCTATAGGGCAGTTCAACGCCAAGCAAAGGAGTTCTGGAAAAGAAAGTAAACCAAATGTTGCATTAGCTTTCTGCAGGTATGTGCCTATTCCAAGCAAAGCTACGCTTAGGGCCCTGGTGTGTGGGGGAAACGATAGACTATTTAACTACCACCAGACCTTGTGTGGTCATAAGGCGGCACGGAAGAGATGCCAAACCCCTATATCGAAATAGTTGCAGCGTCACATTGAAGATGTTTCAAGAAAGTGGGTTTTGCCACAACACCTCCAATCCAGGGGAAAAAGCTACAGGTAAAATTTTCAAAAAGGTCTAACTTCCATTTTCAACAGCGACTCAGACCCTTGGGATCCTCGCTCTTAGTGAAAAACCAATGGGACTTGGTCCTTTTTGAAAACTGTACTCAGGAGCAACTTTCCAGTCATAGGGATTTGTGAAGTGCCAGTCAAGCGCTCACATGCTAAGAGAAGGAGAACAGTATAAATGCCAAGACAGAGGATCCCCCAAGTATTTAGGCACTGAAAACACATCGGCATCAGACCCGCCCATCAGGCACGTGGCCTGTTCTGAAACAGCGCGGAAGAGCCAGTGCTCTGCCCCAGCCACAGCGAAGCCCTGAGGAAGCGTCATGGTCTCCTTTCCCTGGTCCACCCACCCACCCACGCACCGCTGAAGGCCTACACTTGAAGGCACCATCCTTTCTGTTGACTGGATGGGATTCCATTCACAGGAGGGGCATGGACATGAGACAGCTTTCCCTGCTCCGGCTGCCTGCCCCTGCAGCAAGCCCAGCTCCTGCTGACCAAGAAAGTTTACAGTAATGCAAATGGATGTCAGTCAGTCACCTATTATACGATTGCATCACTATGCCAAAACACATTAGCATTCAAATCTAAAGGGGGCATGAGAGGTCTCCAAACAACTGCTCTTTTTAAGATTGCGTGGGGGGGGGGGGGGCAAGCCCTGTGTTCCAAGGGTTAATATCAGCAGCCTTGCCCATTAAGACAGCTGTTAAAACAGCTTTTGATCCAACTTAAACACAGCCTGACCATCAGTAAGAATTCAAGAAATACTGCTTCAACAATACTGCAGGTCGAAAGCACAAACTGGAACATGATCAAACATTTAAAAATTCCTTTTGATAATTCAGAGCCGCTTGTTATCAATAAAACAGAAATGATTAATTAGGTCAACTTGCATCTCCCCCTCCCCACCACCCTCTCCTCAGGAAGCTGCTCCTTTAGCAACAAGATGGCCAGAAAATACCTCCACCGTTAGAAAGCAATATGAAGGCAAACAGGCATGTTCTAGACTCGCTGGACCTTTCCCCCAGGTTTTCCAGAAAACTCACCATCTCCCCTGAAACTGCACAGACTCAGCTCACGTACCTTCCATCTAGCGAAGGCTTTTCTAGAGCACTCAGCCATCTGGTATCTAAGCACTTAAAATAGCAGTTTAAGAAGATAAAAACTGTTGAGAGTGGATCAGGCCAATAGTCCATCTAGCCCCAGCATCTGGTCTCCAACAGTGCCCAGTACCAGAGCTTCTGGAGGAGTACATGGAACAGGGCAATTTTGGAGAGAAGCACCAGTTTTCCCCTTCCGGCTCCTGACAGTCATCCCAAGCATGGGGTTACATCCCTGACCATCTTGGCTAACAGCCATTGATGGACCTAGCCTCCAGGAACTTATCTAGCTCTTTTTAACCCAGTTATACTTTGTGCCATCATAACATCCCAAGGCAATGAGTTCCACAGGTTAATTGTGCACTGTGTGCGTAAGTACTTCCTTTTGTTTGTATTAAACTTGCTGCCTATTAATTGCATCGGGTGACCCCTGGTTCTTGTATTGTGGGAAAGGGTAAATAACTTCTCTTCACTTTCTCCACACCATTTATGATTTTATAGCCCTCTATCATATCGCCCCTTAATCGTCTCTTTTCTAAACTGACCAGCCTGTGTCTTTTTAGTCTCTCCTCCTGTGGAAGCTGTCCCACACCCTTGCTCATTTGTTGCCCTTCTCTGAACCTTTTCCAATTTCACTATATCCTTTTTATGATTGGGCAAGCAGAAATGGACACAGTATTCAAGGTGTGGGTGCACTCTAGATTTATTTAGAGACATTATGATATTTTCTGTCTTATTTTCTACCCCTTTCCTAATAGTTCCTAACACTTTATTAGCCTTTTTGATCGCTGCTGTGCACTGGGCTGAAGTTTTCAGAGAACTACCCAGGATGAAACCAAGAGTTTTGTCTTGAGTGGTAACAGCTACTTTAGACCCCCATCATTATATATGTATAGTTGGGATGATGTTTTCCAACGTGCATTACTTTGCACTTAACGCTGAATTTCATCTGCCATATTCTTGCCCAGTCACCCAGTTTTGTGAGATCCCTTTGTAAGTCTTTGCAATCAGCTTTGGACTTAACTATCTTGAGTAATTTTGTATCATCTGCAAACTTCGCCATTTCACTGTTCATTCCCTTTTCCAGATCATTAAGGAATATGTTGAACAGCACATGTCCCAGTAGTCTTTACTTCTTTCCATTGTGAAAACTGACCATTTATTCTCACCCTTTGTTTCCTATCCTTTACCCAGTCCATGACAGGACCTTCCCTCTTATCCCATGACTGCTTACTTTGCTTAAGAGCCTTTGGTGAGGGATCTTGTCAAAGGCTTTCTGAAAATCTAAGTACACTAGATCTCCTGGATCACCCTTGTCCACATGCTTGTTGGCATCCTCAAAGACTTCTAATAGATTGGTGATTAGAGTTTATAGCTTCACAACAACAATAAAGGGGCATATATTTGAATTCTGGGCTCCCTCATTTTTTATGTACTTTGCACACAGATATTTCAGTTTAACAACTTCCAAAATATTTACTTAGGAAAAAACAACAACCCACACGCACAAAGTAGTTGGGCAACAATTTTACAGATGAAGGTGATGGTTTGCAGGAGTCATTGGGACAGGCTATTGTTAGTTATGTTGCTGCACCCAGAGTGAGCAAAATCAGTGAAGATTATTACAGCGGGCAGATGTTTAGAGAGATTCGTATCATTTTAACACAGGTCCCTCTTTCCTTTCCAAAGAGCCAGGAAGTAACGATATGCCCCATGACAGCTGGTGAGATTGTCTCAAGGAAAAGTTCTTACGAACCATTGTCCTCCCCCCGCCCAGTGACAGTAGCACTGCAAATAATTTTACTAACCCTGTTCTCCTCCGCCCTCCCCCCCCCACATTCAAAAAAGCCAACCTTTGTTTGGCATCACCATTATATACTTCCAAAGCCACAGTGACATTTCTGAAAAGCTTCAGAGTAGCAGCCGTGTTAGTCTGTATCCACAAAAAGAAAAGGAGTACTTCTGGCACCTTAGGGACTAACAAATTTATTA